AGTCTATGTCTAATACAGTAAGAAACTGAATACAGATAAGATCTCACCCTCAGAGATGTTTTAATACATTTCTTTCACAGACTGGACGCCTTCCTAGTCTGTGGGCACAATCCTTTCCCCTGGTACAGCCCTTGTTCCAGCTCAGGTGGTAGCTAGGGGATTCCTCATGATGGCTGCTCCACTTTGTTCTGTTCCACCCCTTTATATATATTTTTGCATAAGGCGGGAATCCTTTGTCCCTCTGGGTTCCCCCCCCCCTTGTCAATAGAAAAGCACCAGGTTAAAGGTGGATTTCAGTTCAGGTGACATGATCACATGTCACTGTAAGACTTCATTACCCACTTGCCAGCACACACATATACAGGAAGACTTACAGGTAAAACAGAGCCATCTCCAGTCAATTGTCCTGGTTAATGGGAGTTATCAAGATTCCAAACCACCATTAATGGCCCACACTTTGCATAATTACAATAGGCCCTCAGAGTTATATTTCATATTTCTAGGTTCAGATACAAGAGTGGTACATTTATACAAATAGGATGATCATACTCAGTAGATTATAGATACCTTACAAGAGACCTTTTGCATGAAGCATATTCCAGTTACATTAGCATCTTTTCATAAAATCATATAGAGTGCAACGTCACACAGAGCTGGAGATTAAACAGCCTCAAAGACTGATGGAGATTTGCTAACCTGCCTGGACAAGGGGTATTTGAGGAAAGTGAGTGGTAAAGACTCACTCAAGAGTGATGTGCTGGTAACCTCTCCTCTCTAGGTACTTGACACATTGGGTTTATGGAAATGTACTACATGGGTTGAGAATTTAATGTATGTGTTATTAGATAGTTAACTGTTGACATATATGCATATAAGAGTTAATTAGTTTTTCTTTAAGAGGGAAGATGTAGAGATATGTTTATGAAAGATTGTGATTTGGAGATGCTCCCGAATAAGGGACAGTGTTGTGAGTGTGGCAATTTGGAGATGTGCGCTGGAGGCAGGGGTTGGGTACACCGCATGGCTGTGTGCAACAGCTTGCTACAGAAGCTCTCCAGTTTGTTTTATTAAAGTTTTATTCCTTTCTCATTTACTGGTTTGTTATTTAATGAGCCCCAAGATCATTACACCTGCATCAATTTCAATTCACACCTTTTTTTATTTCAGTGCAAGTCTGTGTGTAGACATTCTTATTTTGGAATAAAAGTTTTCTATTCTGATTTTTTTAAAATTGGTAAAAGTGACATAAGCTAAAACAAAATAAGTCACTTTTATTCTGAAATAAGTGTGTCCAAACAGACTTGCCCTGATATACCAAAAGCTGTGAATTAAAATCTGTTTAGTTATTTTAGGGCAAGTCTGCGTATAGCCCAGCTCTGAGGCCTTGTCTATGTATAGAAGTTGCACCAGTTTAACTAAAATTGAAATAAAAGCAGATATAAGCCAGTGGTTAAGCAACAGAAGTGTGTCCTCACAGGAATTTGCACCAGTTTAAGTAAATAATTTAAAAATCAATTTCAGTTAAAGCAGGTAGAATTTCTGTGTGTAGACTTGGCCTTATGCTACCATTTACATCAGCCCTGAGATTGGGTCCTGGACATTCTCTTCTATTATCTCTGGGTTCAAGTTCCACATAGGTTGTTTCTGGTGGTGGTGGTGGTTTTTTTCTTTTTGAAATATGCATATTTTCCTTTTCCTTAAGAGATTGTATGATATGAACTGTGAACGGATTTGAATATATCTCTACCTTCTGTAGCCAACCTTATGTATAAAAGCTAAATATAGGTAAGACATAGGTATTATAAGTCTGTAATGCAAGGACTGTATAACAATTAGCATAATCAAGGGCTAGCGACATGAGCAGCTTGGGAATAAGGAACTAACTATTAAAAAAACCCTAAGTCATAAAATAAGTATCTCAGGCCTGGTCTACACTACGAGTTTAGGTCGAATTTATCAGCGTTAAATCAAATTAACCCTGCACCTGTCCGCACAACGAAGCCATTTACTTCGACATAAAGGGCTCTTAAAATTGCTTTCTGTACTCCTCACCGACAAGGGGAGTAGCGCTGAAATCGACATTGCTGGTTCCGATTAGGGTTAGTGTGGACGCAATTCGACGCTATTGACCTCCGGGAGCTATCCCACAGTGCACCATTGTGACCGCTCTGGACAGCAATCTGAACTCGGATGCACTCGGATGCACTGGCCAGGTAGACAGGAAAAGCCCCGCAAACTTTTGAATTTCATTTCCTGTTTGCCCAGCATGGAGAGCTGATCAGCACAGGTGACCATGCAGAGCTCATCAGCATAGGTAACCATGCAGTCCGAGAATTGAAAAAGAGCTACAGCACGGACCGTACGGGAGGTACTGGATCTGATCGCTGTATGGGGAGACAATTCCATGCTAGCAGAACTACGTTCCAAAAAACGAAAAGCCAAAACATTTGAAAAAATCTCCAAGGGCATGATGGAGAGAGGCCACAAGAGGGACTCACTACAGTGCCGCGTGAAAGTTAAGGTGGTCAGACAAGCGTACCAGAAAACCAAAGAAGCAAACGGACGCTCCGGGGCAGAGCTGCAGACATGCTGCTTCTACGCTGAGCTGCATGCAATTCTAAGGGGGGCCGCCACCACTACCCCACCCCGACCGTGGATTCCGATGAGGGGTTACTCTCAGCCATGCCTGAGGATTTTGTGGACAGGGAAGATGAGGAGGAGGATGAGCTTGCGGAGAGCACACAGCACACCGTTCTCCCCAACAGCCAGGATCTTTTTCTCAGCCTGACTGAAATAGCCTCCCAACCCTCCCAAGGCAGTATCCCGGACCATGAAGCCGCAGAAGGGACCTCTGGTGAGTGTACCTTTGTAAATAAAAAACATGGTTTAAAAACAAGCATTTTTTAATGATTAATTTGCCCTGAGGACTTGGGATGCATTCGCGGCCAGCACAGCTACTGGAAAAGTCTGTTAACGTCTGGGGATGGAGAGGAAATCCTCCAGGGACATCTCCATGAAGCTCTCCTGGAGGTACTCCAAAAGCCTTTGCAGAAGGTTTCTGGGCAGTGCAGCCTTATTCCGTCCTCCATGGTAGGACACTTGACCATGCCATGCTAGTAGCAAGTAATCTGGTACCATTGCATGAGAAAGCCTGGCAGCGTATGGTCTCAGTGTTTGCTGGCATTCAAGCAACATCCATTCTTTATCTCGCTGTGTTATCCTCAGGAGAGTGATATCGTTCATGGTAACGTGGTTGAAATACGGGAATTTAATTAAGGGGACAGAGGTGGCGGTTCCTACTGGACTGTTTGCCTGTGGCTGAAAAGAAATCCTCCCCGCAGTTAGCCAAGTGGGGGGGTGGGGCGAACATTGGCGCTGAGCTGCTCGTGTTTGGCTAGCAGGGATTTTCCCTGATACCAGCCATGTGGTGGGGGGAGAGGTAAAGCGATCATCCCAGAGAATTGGATGGGGGGGGTTAGTTTGGTTTCTGCTGCTGCACATTAACATGAATACCGCAGCACTCAATCTTTGCTTGGTATGGGAAAGGAGGCGCTGCTTTTATGAAGGTTACAGAAGCTGAAAGACAATGGTTTACTATGGCTGCATGCAAGTCGAATTCTGTTGCCCGGCCCTGCGTCTATGATCTCTAACACCAAGCCGCAGACACTCAATATTAAGATGCAAAATGCGACCTTGGACTGAAATCACATGTGCTATGTAATGTGAATAGTATTGTTCACCGTGAAAGAGTATACCCATTGTTCTGTAACATGTATCTTTTTAAATACTTCTCTCCCTTTTTTCCCTCCCGCAGCTGCAAATTTTTCAAGCCTCCCTCCTCCGTCCCGAAGGCTATCTCAGATAAGGCGGCGAAAAAAACGCACGCGAGATGAAATGTTCTCTGAGATCATGCAGTCGACCCGCAATGAAAGAGCTCATCTGAATGAGTGGAAGGACACAGTATTACAGTACAGGAAAGCGGCCAATGAACGTGAGGACAGGAGGGACAAACGTGAGGACAGAAGAGACGCTCGAGATGAGAGGTGGTAGCCGGAAGATCAGAGGAGGCAAGATGCAATGCTGGGGCTACTGCGTGATCAAACGGACATGCTCCGGCGTCTGGTGGAGCTTCAGGAATGGCAGCAGGATCACAGAGTTCCACTGCAGCCCCTGTTTAACCGCCCTCCCCCCGCCCCAACTTCCATAGCCTCCTCACCCAGACGCCCAAGAACGCGCGGTGGGGGAGGCTCTGTGCACCCTGCCACTCCACCCCAGTGGACAGCCCAAGCAACAGAAGGCTGTCATTCAACAAGTTTTGGAGTGGCCTTTTCCTCCCCTCCTCCCACACCCCACCCAGGCTACCTTGTCAGTTCTCTCCCTGTTTTTATAATCAATTAATAAAGAATACATGGTTTTTAAACAATAGTGACTTTATTTCCTTTGCAAGCAAGCTGTGCTCAAAGTGGGGAGGATGGGTGGCTTACAGGGAATGAGTCAATCAAGGGGGCGGGTTTTCATCAAGGAGAAACAAACAGAACTGTCACACCGTAGCCTGGCCAGTCATGACACTGGTTTTGAAAGATTCTCTGATGTGCAGCACTTCCTGGTGTGCTCTTCTAATCGCCCTGGTGTCTGGCTGTGCGTAATCGGTGGCCAGGTGATTTGCATCAACCTCCCACCCCGCCATAAACGTCTCCCCCTTACTTTCACAGAGATTGTGTAGCACACAGCAAGCAGCAATAACAATGGGAATATTGGTTTGGCTGAGGTCTGAGCGAGTCAGTAAAGTGCACCAGCGACCCTTTAAACATCCAAATGCACATTCTACCACCATTCTGCACTTGCTCAGCCTATAGTTGAACAGCTCTGGGGTGTATGGGGTGGCCAGGGAGGGGTAGTACCTCTGATGGGGGGACTTGTCGTACCCTTTGGAAGTAGTCTGTCCACTTTGGTCCCCACCTGTCACTCAGCTCTCACCTGTGGCTCCAAGTAGCTGCAGCATGCGCAGCGGCCACACCCCGGGCAATGGCTTCGACAGGCCGGCTAAACCAGGTGAGTGTAACTGATGGGACTCAAACCCTCAGTGAATTTGGGATATGCCTACCCTGCATGTGATGTCAGCTCCAGCGGATTGGGCGAAAGAGATCACTAAGATCCAACGGCCAAGAAGGCGGTTCTGCAACGCTTTGTGGAAAACGAAGGACTTGACGAAGCACGAAAGACGTCAAGGTCATCTACTGCAACCAAAGAAGTTACCAGTCGTGATGATTTTTCGTACCATTGGTGTCTGGCTTCTAAGGTCGAGAGAGTGGGATTGCTCCCGTGCAATGGCTCTACCACTCAAAAGCTTTCACGCACAGGTCCTGTGCAAATCATCAAACATCATCATCATCATCATAGTACCCAAGTCCTGCGGTGATGGGGGAGGGGCAAAGTGACAGGTGGAGGTTACCACTGGGAGTCGTAGTCCCAATTCTGCATGCAGGCGGCCTGTGGATAGGTGGTCGTCCAGCTCTGTACTTGGGGCAGCAGGGTTGCCCGGCAGCATCCCAGGCGTCTGAGCAGCCCTCTTCAGGACAGCACTACTCACCCTAGTGAGGGAGGGGCCTAGAAAAGGTGGCCTAAAAATTGCCTGCCCTACAACAACTGGCCAGCAAGCCACGGCTGGCAGTTCAACCCAATTTGCAGCCGAAACCAAAAGAAAAATTTGAGAAAACTTACCATTGGTGTATGGAATGTTCGTACCCTCATGGATCGAGAAGCTGTTGCAAGACCTGAGAGAAGGACAGCCCTCATTGCTCGAGAACTAGTCCGTTATAACATCGATATAGTGGCATTAAGTGAAACAAGATTGCTTGGGGAAGGTTTCTTGAGTGAACCAGTAGGTGGTTACCAGGGCCGGCTCTAGGTTTTTTGCCGCCCCAAGCAAAAAAAAGTTTGGCTGCCCCCGTCCCAGCCCTGGGCTCCTTGCCGCACCCCCCCTGCCGCCCCAACCCTGGGCTCTCCCCCACACCCGCACCCCCTGCCCTGGGCTCTCCCCCCCGACCCGCACCCCCCTGCCGCCCCAGCCCTGGGCTCTCACTCCCCCACCCGCACCCCCCTGCTGCCCCAGCCCTGGGCTCCCCCTACCCCCCCACCATTGCCCCCCCCACACCTCCTGCCACCCCAGCCCTGGGCTCTACCCCCCCGCCCTGCACCCTCCTTCTGCCGCAGCCCTGGGTCAC